ACATTGCTTAATTATCAATTTTCAGAAACGTACATTTAACCTTCCTGTACACCCCCCATGGTAATGAATGTTACCACTTTTTTCATTCTACCAGTTTTATACTCATATAGTACTTTGAATTATCTTCCTGGAGAAGTGAACCTTTAAAAAAATCATTGAGTACAACGCTTGAGTCCAGTATTGCTTTTGTTTCCTCTTATGTCTGTTTTGTTTGATATTAATGTAGCTCTGTCAGCATTCTTCCCAAGTTCTTTACCTGCTTTCCACTTCTTAAAACAATGTCAGTGTTTCTGTGTCTTTGTTTTACTAGTGTCTCCTGTTAACTGAGTATTGCTGAATTTTATCACTTTAATTGGTTTTGTAATCTGTTAATGGCAAATTTGGTTCATTTACATTTATTGTGATTGCTGATATACCTAGCTTCATTAACGCCATATTTGTTACTATTTTCCTGAAATTTTTTCCTTTTTAGTCTATTTTGTTTCCTCTCCTTTAAGTTACACTTCTGACCTTCTTAAGAAGACAGCACAAACAGAAAAGGGAGCCTCTGCCCAGCCCTTCCAAAACTGGAATCAAAGCAAGGCCAGAAGCCTGAATGCCATGCCGACGGCCTTCATAGCCACACCAGAAAATCTGCATATCACTCATGTTCTGGCAGCCCAACACCCACAGAAGAGCGCCCCCAAGAACAACTCGGACCACTGTGCCGTCAGGCTCCTCTGACCAGTCAGCCTTAAAGAAGCTCCAGGGTAGCACTGCACTGGTGTCCCCCGTGGGTCTGTTGGGCTGGGAATGTGAGGCGGCTCTGGGACTCGGTCAGTGCCCCGGTCAGGTCTGGCGCCCAGAAGGCAGACTTTGCCTGGCTCCCTGCTGCATGGCTCTGCAAGCCGCCACCTCAGTGGGTCATCTGAACTGTAATAAACTTTCCCCAGCTAAAAACTAAATGACATATTCTTTACCATTTATTTTAGCCTGAACTTTAATGATTTTGTGGTGCCGAAAGAGGATCAAATGCTTACTGTCCTACCAAATAAGGATCTTACACTTCAACTCTCATCTCAGTCTTCCTCTCCCATCCTTACTGCTCAGTGCTTTAATTCTGCAAGTTAATTCCCCCACCTGGACACTATGAGTACTTTACTCAAGGTTTTATATCAACTCACAAATTTACAAGTCTCTCCACTCTTAAACATGTTTTTTGCATGTCAGACCTTCTGGTATGCATCACCATCTTCCTTTGGTGAGAGCAGGCTCCTGGTAAAGGGTTTTTTGTCTGACAGTACTTGTTATTTTGTACTTGATCTTAAATGCTATTTAATGATATATAATTTTAGAGATGACATTTATCTCACCTCTTTGAATGTATTATTGTCTTCTGCCTTCTGTTGTTGAGAAGCTGTCAGTCTAATTATTCTATCTTTCCTCATCTGCCCTCTTTTGTGGATCAGGATTTCTTTTACTGTCTTGCTTAGAATATACTTTGCTTCCTAAATCTGGGACCTCGGATATTTCAGCGAGTCTGGGAAATAACCAGCCTCTCTGAATATGGCTGCTCCCTCCACCCCAGTCTCTCCATTCTTTCATTTTAGAGTTCTGTAAACTTTTGCATTTTCCATCTGTGTTCTGTCAGATTTCCCATTTTTTCTTTGCTGCATAATGGAGAATTTGTTCAGTCTGTCTCCTAGTTTACTAATTTTCTCCTTGGCTGTCATAATTAATCTTTACAATTTAACTTGTGCCAACTTCCAGCCAAGATGAAGGTGTAGGTAAGGTAGATATTCTTTGCCTCCTCATACAACCAAAAGAAGGGAAAAAAACAAATTTAAAAACAAAAAATAACCAGAACTGCCAGACAGTAGAACTGTATGGAAGTCCAACAACCAAGTAAAGAAACATTCACCCAAACCAGTAGGAGGGGCAGAGATGGGTAGCCGGAGTGCAGAGGACCTGCAACAAGTCCTCCAGCAAGGAGGTGGTTGGAGGACCAGGTGGTCCCACATCTGTGTGTGGATAAGCTGGCAGGAACAACTCGGGAGCAAGACAGACTGCCCAACCCAGGGTTGCAGCGCCAGAAATAAAGTCTCAAAACCTGACTGTAAAAACCTTTGAGGATTGCGGCAGCAGTGGGAAAAACTCCCAGCCTCACAGGACAATTCATTGGGGAGACCCACAGGGTCCCAGAACATACACAAACCTACCCACCCAGGAATCATCACCATAAGGACCACATTTGCTTGTGGGTAGCAGGGGAAGTGACAGAAAGCTGGCAGAGAGCCAACCAAGCAGCACTGTATTCTCTTGGACCCCTCCCCCACATACAGCACCACAACACAGCGATGTGGGTTCCCCACCCTGGCAAAGAATACTTAAGGCTCTTCCCCTTGTTACTTAACAGTGCACCAAAACAAACAAACAAAAATATGAGTCAAATGAAAGAACAGATCAAAGCTCCAGAAAATGAACTAAGCAAAAAGGAGACAGCAAACCTATCAGATGCAGAGTTCAAGACACTGGTAATCAGGATGCTCACGGAAATGGTTGAGTATGGTCACAAAATAAAGGAAAAAGTGAAGGCTCTGCAAAGTGAAATAAAGGAAAATGTACAGGGAACCAACAGTGATGGGAAGGAAACTGGACTCAAATCAACAATTTGGACTAGAAACAGGAAGTAAACATTCAACCAGAACAAAATGAAGAAACAAAAATACAAAAAAATGAGAGGCTTAGGAATCTCCAGAACAACTTTAAGTGTTCCAACATCTGAATGGTAGGGGTGCCAGAAGGAGAAGAAGAAGAGCAAGAAATTGAAAACTTACTGGAAACATAATGAAGAACTTCCCCATTCTGGCAAAGGAAATAGACTTCCAGGAAGTCCAGGAAGCTCAGAGTCCCAAAGAAGTTGGATCCAGGAAGCACACACCAAGGCACATCATAATTACATTAGCCAAGATTAAAGAGGAGAGAATCTTAAAAGCAGCAAGAGAAAAAGGAGACAGTTACCTACAAAGGAGTTCCCATAAGGCTATCAGCTGATTTCTCAAAAGAAATCTTACAGGCAAGAAGGGGCTGGAAAGTATTTGAAGTCGTGAAAGGCAAGGACCTACATCCAAGATGACTCTATCCAGCAAAGCTTTCATTTAGAATGGAAGGGCAGATAAAGTGCTTCCCACACAAGGTCAAGTTAAAGGAGTTCATCACCACCAAGCCTTTCTTATATGAAATGTTAAAGGGACTTTTCTAAGAAAAAGAGAATATGAACAGTAAGATGACAACAAACTCACAACTATCAACAACTGAACCTAAAAAAAAATAAATAAAAATTTTAAAAAACTAAGCAAACTAGAAGAGAAAGAGAATCACAGAAATGGAGATCACATGGGGGGATTATCATTGGGGAGGAGGAGAGGGAGAATTGGGGAAAAGGTACAGGGAATAAGAAGCATAAATGGTAGGTACAAAATAAACAGGTTAGGGAGGTTAACAACAGTATAGGAAATGTAGGAGCCAAAGAACTTATATATATGACCCATGGACACGAACTAAAAGGGGGGGAATGATGATGGGGGAGAGATGAAGGGGAGAAAAAAATGGGACAACTGTAATAGCATAATCAATAAAATATTTTAAAAAGTTAAAAAAATTTCTGTCTAGTTTTAAATTTCAGTGATTAAATTTTCCAATCTGGAAGTTTTTTCAAATGCCTGCTCTAATTTTTATACTTTGTTAACTTTTTATTCCACCTTTTGATTAAAAAACATTTAGTCATTTAAGCCCTGGTTGGTATAGCTCAGTGGATTGAGTGCGGGCTGCGAACCAAAATGTCGCAGGTTCGATTCCCAGCCAGGGCACATGCCTGGGTTGCAGGCCATAACCCCCAGCAACCACACATTGATGTTTCTCTCTCCCTCCCTCCCTCCGTTCCCTCTCTAAAAATAAATAAATAAAATCTCTAAAAAAAATTAGTCATTTAAAATTCTTGGGAAAGGATACTAAATCTGTTTCTGACTTATTTCCATGAGTGTGCTGTAAATTTGGGATTGGATTGGAATGGATTTTGTGTTTTATATACCTCTGAGACCCAGGGTTCAGGGTGTGTCCCTCCAGAAATAATTGGTATTTGCATCTGCCAGACACCATCATGCCTGGGGCTAAAGAGTGTTCTGGACCACAGAGGCAGTTTAAATATTAACTCCAGACCCAGGAGGCATACCTTACTTGGTACTCAGGCTGAGATAGGCTCCTTGTAGTCTTAGCTTGTTTTTGTTGGTGGGCTATTTTTTTTTCCCTGAGTCTGTGCCTTCACTGCAGAGAGCTCTTGCCAATGCCCTAACATTCTATGCTGTTAAGATTGAAGAGTAGCCCTGGCTGGTGTAGCTCAGTGGGTTGAGCACAAGCCTGTGAATCAAAGGGTCACCAGTTTGCTTCCCAGTCAGGGTACATGTCAGGGTTGTGGGCCAGGTCCCCAGTAGGGAGTACATGAGAGGCAACCACACATCGATGTTTCTCTCCCTTTCTCCTTCCCTTCCTTTTTCTAAACAAAATTAAAAAAAAAAAACAAAGCCTGAAGTGTAGAGAAATGTTACAAGGGCAGTGAAAACTTGGGGCAACTGCAGGCAGAAGGCCAAGGTGTGTCTGACAGGGAGCTTGCAGACCTCAGGCTGCTGCAGGAGTGTCAGCCTCTTTCAGACAGTGCAGTGCTCCCAGCAGCCAGGAACTGCTTCATGCAGAAATGGGTTTCTCTGCAGCAAACAGAAAACCTGCCAGGGAAGGTTTAACAGGTAATAGTAACCGTGGTTAATCTAGGATGGATTTAAGTACCAAACTAGGATGTGTCACTTCATGTATTGCTCCCAATTGTAGTTTTCAAAGTTTGGAGTTGCAGGAGTTATCTTCTACCTAGAAAATATAGTGCAGTTAGCCCAGTGAATTGAAGTTCATTTTTCAAAGTACTGTTGAAGATGAAAAGTGTTAATTTCCTCTTTGTGCCAATCTGTTCGCAGAGCCCATGGGCAGCATGTCATCCATGGAGGTGAACATCGACATGCTGGAGCAGATGGATCTGATGGACATATCTGACCAGGAGGCCCTGGATGTCTTTTTAAGTTCAGGTGGAGAAGACAATGCCGTGCTGTCCCCTGTCTTAGGTAGGAGGTGACAGACTTGCATAAACTTCATCATACTTACATCATTTCCCGTCAGAGGGCAGAGTAATTGTACGAGTCCCTAAGCCACAGTCAACTTTGGGTCCTGCTCACCCGCTTCTGCATTGCGTGCCTGGTCTCACAATAGTGGGCAAAGGAAACATCAGCTGTCCAGTCACAGATGTCTCAGATTTTAATTGCTCTACCCAGACACACCTTCCAAGAACAGGGGGCCTCCTTAATTTGTGTTTTATCTTCTCTGTCTCAGAACCTTGAGTTTGGCTGGCTGTTTTTTGTTTTGTTTTGTTTTGTTTTGTTTTTAATGGACTGGAATTTAGGGGAAGCTGGGAGCTGTCCTGTGTGGCTCACACACCTGGTGCTGGTCTGAGCATATATTCATTGTCTTTAAACTCTTGCCCCTTCATTAAGCAGCTGTCTATCTTTGTTCTGGGCAAGGCCAAGGTGTGTGTTCAGCATTTGGTTTATATTTTAAAACTTTGGTGCAACCCTGTGGGAACCTTCATTTAATGCCTCCCTAAACTTTCACATCCCTTCAGCAAACATTCACTGAGACTCCACACCTATACCTGGGCTCACTTCATTTTAAATTTCAGACCAGACCTTCCAGGTGAGTCTTCATATATAAACATCTTTATAAAGGCGGCTTTGGAGTTTTTCCACATACGTACAAGGGAGAGGCAAAGCGCAGGCCTCCAGCAGCACCGTGACCCCTCTGGCAGCGTAGCCATCACCACAGGTCCCACTTCCTCAGAGGCAAGCCCCTGAGAGGTCTTGCCAGTTTGTCTTGTTTCCAACCTGTCGGCTCCCTTCTCCCAGCAGGTCTGGGAGAGTGTGCTGTCCCAAGGCGGGTGGGACACTGCAGCTGGGAAGGGGAGCTGCCGGCCCCTTTCCCAGAGTTGGGAGATTTTGTAACAGTGACTCCACCATCTGCATATGGTTTTGATTCCTTGAAGAACTTATTCCCCATGAAATTGGAGAAATACTAAAAGATGAGTTTTTCTCTTAGTATTACTTTCTTTTAATTCCTTCAAAGAGATATAAAGAAAATCAGTCTAGATTATGATGATTCCACGGACTGCTCCCCAAAGAAATGCAGTGTGTGTCCCAGGGCCTTCAGCGCAGGGTTCCACGGGATGCAGCGGGAAGGGAGCAGGCGCCTCCCATCCATCACAGGCGGCAGGTCGTCGGCCCAGGGCCCCCGCCACGCCTGGGCACGCCCCAGCTTAGCCTGGTCTGGGGGCTGTTCTGCACTTACTGGGCAACCTACAGCCCCCAGCTCACCACAGCAAAAACCTGACATCCTTTTTATCAGTGTGAGTTCACATTACCATCTCCAGTGGCAGTCTTAATTGTCATACTTTTATCACAATTTTTCTGCTATTTTTCAGAGCTGGAATCAAGTACTGGTCAGAATGAAATCACTCTTCAGGTTGCAAATCCCTCTGAATTGCGAGCCCAGTCACCTTCCTCATACTCTGCCTGCACTGACCCAGCCACCCAGGACCCTGGTGAAGGTGGGGAGTCCCCTGTCGTTCAGTCTGATGAGGAGGGAGTTGAGGTGGACACGGCCCTTGCCACTTTACACACCGATGACAGTGACTCCTAAACCCGGCACCACGTTCTCTGGGCACCTTTGAAGGAAGACTCAGCTGTGCACAGAACCCCTCGGTGAAGGCAGGTGGTTTGATGGAGACTCTTAGTTTTCACACAGTTGCCAGTGATTTGGGAGAAACTGACTGCCAGAAGAGCTAACAATAAAGTTCAAAGACTTTAAACTGAGAGAGTGCATGGCCCGTTTGTTCAGAAAAGCTTCTAAACACACACGCCCTCCAGGCTTTAGCATGCAGGAGGGCAGCTCGGTCCAGCAGGCCAAGAAATGTAAGGCTTTTCTTCATCTCATCTTCTCACTCCCCTCTCTACTCCCCACCCCACATGGGGCAGAGCTGGACCTCAAAGTGTAGCCACCTCATCAGTTCAACACTGAAGAAAAAGCCCTTCGCAGACAGAAAATTCTGCTTCCTCTAAAACAGAACTGTAGACACACTCAGCTCTAATAAAAGTTGGGTTCTCATCTGATTTTTACAGAATTATTAACAGTTCAAGTAACCCCTACTTTAACTCTGGAACACACATCTGGGCCCAAAGGAAATGAAAAGCAGCAAATCAATACGCCCTTCTCACCCCTGACAAGGAACGGGTCCCACAGAGATGGGATTTTCCCTCAGTGCTCCTCACAGCCCAGCTCCTAGGGGGAGAGGCGGCAGATTCCCCCTCCACTCAGAGCAGGGGAGGAAAGCCCTACCCAGCCCAGCCGAGGGGCAGCTACAGGTGGGGAGGTCCCAGCCCAGCTGGCTCTCACAGTGTTGCTTCCTGTGGAGAAGGGCCACTAGCTGGACCCCAGTGGGCCCCACAGAAAATAAGAGGGCAAACAGTAGGCATTTGGTTTTGCTTGAAGGGGATTCAAACCACCACATGGAAAGTGAGAAAGATCAAAACATGTTGTCTGTGCAGCTCCCTGGCTGGGATGGGGGGCGGGGGGCGGTACGTGGAGACTCGCACCCTCTGTCCATACACTGGAAAAGAAATTGCTCATTTCACTCACTCATCTTCCACAGACAAATATCCAAAAAACTTTGTTTTTATTATTAAACCTTGTAGTACAAACCTGAAAAGTAAACAAAAACTGGCAATAAACAACATGAAGTCTTCCCTCCCAAGGGAGGAGTGCAGAGCAGCGCTAATAAATTAAATGTCAAACTGTAAGCCATAGGCAGAAGTTTACTGTCAAAAAGAGGGAAAGTACACAGCAAGGCCATAAAAACCGGACAACCACATTGGAAAACACTTGACTCTGTTTATGTCATTGTTAAATATTCCAAAACAGTTCAGTCTTCTGCAACAACAACCAACAAAGTGGATCACAGAACGCTCCTGACAGTCCCACTGGCAAGCTCAGTGCAATATGGGTAGCTACGGGATCGATGAATCCAATTATGAAACAAAGAACAGCTTGTGAAAACAGTTTCCCTTCTTTATTCCACACATACTGTACACACAACCGGAGAAGGGCAACAGCTACTCCATTATTATTTTTTTGTTGTTGTTCAGTGATGTAAGCAGCACTTATAAATGTTACAAGAAAAACCCTGTAAGCATCCAATCCAACCGATGAAGAAACTGAAATGTAAGGCTTTTCTTCATCTTGTCTCCTCACCCCCCTCCCCACCCCCACTGAGAAAAAGGCTCAAGTATTTAAAACAATTTACAGGCATATGTACAAAAGGATGGGCTTTTTTTTTTCTTTTTTTTTTCCTTTTTGTTACAACATGAAGAGAAAAATAGACAAGATGAGCGCAAATGCATTTTCACATTCAAAAAGAACTGCAGACCTCCTAGTGGCTCTAAATGTGATCATAAACGAAACAAATTTAAAAGATTAATGCTGACTTGTGAAGGTGTGAAACGACAAGCAGTGAGGTGAAGATGGAATGTTAGAAAGATTGCACGTCTATGACAGAGAAGCACTTACGGCTTCAATCACTTTTATTCCTTTTTTTCCCCTTAAGGATGCTATTGAAGGGTTTTTTGATAAAGTAGCCAACAGCACCAAAAAATAACAGAATGGATTTCCTAATGAAATCAGGCACAGGTTTCCGCACGTGACCCCTCCAAGGCAGGCAGGCTTTTTCTTCTCTCTCTTCTCCTTTGTCCTTAAACAGATGCATAGTGATGTGCTGGTACAGAGAACCTCGTCACTCAGACCTCCTCACTTTGCCTATGGTTAGGAAACAACGTCCGCCTTCAGCTGCCGCAACCGCCCGAAGAAACAAGATGGGGTTCTCCGGTTTTGAAAATCACAAACTCATCTTGCACATGACAGAAGAAAAGACAGCCAAAGTAAAGCCATTTCTTTTCAAGTTTCGTGTGTGTGTGTGTGTGTGTGTGTGTGTGTGTGTGTCTCCTATCCCTTTTCCTCTCTAGAAAAATCTGCTCCCATGACTGATGGTTTTAAAATTTGTTCTCCAAACTTCACCCTCTTCAAAAAATGGGTTAAAAAGCCTTTTTTCCCCAACAGTTACAAAGAAAAATCAAACAAAAAGGCTTTTATCAGCCACAGGGGCGATACAAATTAATACAGCCCCTTAAGGGTTTTAAAACAGTGAATATACGGCAGTTTCAAAAATCTGACTGCAGTATCTAGGTATTCTAAGTACAAAAAAAAGTTCAACAGTTTAATGCTAAAACAAAATTAGTTCTCTAAAACCAGAAGAAAATCTTCTTTAGAGCTAGTGCAAAGACAGCTTGTATCCTACAGCAAGTACTCCAAACTAGAATATAATAATTACAAAAAAATAGATCTCAGTCGACCGCGGTGTTGGCAGCCTCACGATGAGCTCGCAGCACTTCTGGAGGAGCTGCAGGATGAGAGCCGGGAGGGCGGCACGTCCACCGTCGCTCTCTTGCGGGGTCCCCTTTTTGGTGTAGGTTTACTGAGACAGTTCTCAATGCTGCCATTCTTACCAGATACTTTCCCACAGATCTGATTGACCAGGCTGATGATTTGTTCCTGTTTTGGGTTGAAAGGAAGACAAAGAATTAACAAACAAGAAGGGCACAGACCCCAGAACTGCCCCGAGGACCTTGGAGAGCCGAGCTGGTCAGCATGCAGGGCTACCAGCCATCCTCACCAGATCCCAGCAAAACGGAGACTTCTGAGCAGTGCCCAGGGAATGTGTTTCTGGGGAGCTGGGACAGACTTTGGAAATCTCTCTGATTCGACATGAGATGCAGTGGACTTGGGAACAAGTTAGAATACTTCATGAGAACATGGCCCCTAACTGGGCACCTACAGTAAAATGCTGTCCTTTTTAGGGACAAACCACTGCCACCTCTCACCTGAAAGCCAGTGTAGTGCAGGGCGAGGTGCACAGAGAACCTCCCGCATCACGATCTCCTAACCTCCAGTTCCCCATCCAAATGGCCAGGAAGCCTAACAGCACCTCCTGGTGGCTGCAAGGTTTAGACCAACTAATGAGCTAAAGCCCTGAAATACACTGAGTCCTCTAACTACAATTAATTTTGTTTCCTACGAGCTGCATCCCATCCTGGGTCTATTCATTCACCTGAGGTACAAATTCCCTCACTGTGTAGCCAGACACAGACTGCTAGACGCATCGCTGGGCTGCCCACCAGGAACCTCTGTGAGCGCCCCCGTTGAAAGAGGTCAGCCAGCTGCCACCCTGGGCCCTCACCTACAAAGGGGAGGACTCAGCTCACCGCCTCCACAGCGAGCATTTATGAGAAAAGACCCGTGGGCTCGAGGCCTCAGGTCCTCAACGCTCTCAACACGTTTCCAGGCTGACACTCAAGCCCAATTCCACCTGGTCTCACAAACGAGTGGGAACACTTGTCTAGAAATAGTTCCATGACTCCCTCCTCCTCTCTGAAGGGGCGATGGCAGACACAACCTGCACTCCTGCAGTTCACACGAGAGAACCATTTATCTGTTGGTATCAAAAATACATTTGTAACTCGGACGTAAGAATTACCCAGTTTTAAAAGAAATCACGGGAAAATATCAAAATGGCATGTAGCTCTGACATAGATTTCATGGAGCCTGCTCTGGGCTGGGGGTGGAGGGAACCATGTGGACTAAGAGTGCAAGGTGTCCCGAAAGTAAGTTAAGGATGCCCCAGGAAGGGGCAAGACTGTCCATCTGTTAAATACAATCTCTGTGGCTGCTTAAACACTTAACGATAAACGTGCCAGTAAGGAATAAATACATGAGCTTCTCTAAAACCCAGTTATATGCGACTAAAGCCACCTCAACAGCACGAAGACCTCACTCTGCAGTCAGAAGGGGACATTCTGCCTTCACCCATGTGACCCAAGGGCCCGGACATGGGGGATTTGTTTGCTGGGCACTCTGGGGCTCAGGACAAGAGTGTGCTGCATGAAGTCATTTCTGAAATCCAAACCAGAGCTAGAAATTCCCCAATTTAAAAGAAAGCACAGTTTAACTCCCGGAATGGACTTGCAGATTTTCATTTACTAAAATAACCAGGCCACTGGCCAAGCAGGAGGCTTCCAAGTACTGACGGCTAAGCTTCAGACTGACAGACCTACCTACATATGTGATTCTACTTCCAGGAGTCTGGTCACATCAGAACACCTTGCTACAGAATCGGCAGGAGGCGGAAACAGACCCACATCCTACAGAGCTTCGAAATCACCTTGGAGAGGCTCCAACTGCCACTGGCTGCACTCTGCCAGTCACCAGGGAGCTGTTCTTACTCAGACACCAGGGGTTATTTTTAACTGTTCTGACATTTGCTGTTAAAGTGAAGGAGGGAGGGCAAAGTGGTTACTGCCTTTGCTGCACATGCTCTTGAAAAAAAAGGATGCAGAGATCTACTTTCAACTTCCCAATCTTACAACTTAGCCAAAGGCTTACACCAAATCTGACCCACGGCGGCAGCTCCCACATGTGCCCCATCCGCTGCAGAGTCCTGCCTGGGCACCTGGCTGTGTCCTGGCTGGATGTGGTCACCTTCCTCAGGGCTGACCTCCTGGGATCTTGCAGTGGAGCAGGAGGGAGGCTCAGGGTGGCACCTGCTGTGGCACAGGTTGTGCCCTGCACACAGTTTGCAGCCACTGTAGACACTGGTGGCAAGGACCATGCTTCTGAAGACAGTGGGCAAGGGCCTGTGGAAGGGCCCCAGGCTGCTGTGTGTGCAGCAGTAGGCCAGCCAGGTCAGGTGACCTGGTCCCCGTG